CACCCAAGAAATCTCTGTCTGTCAATAATTTTTAACTTATTCATGCTAATTAACCAATAAGTGTATTATTGTATTATTATCATTAGGTTATTAAGGTTTTGATAATGTAATTCCATGCATATATGCAAAATCTACAATGCACCACGCATCAGATATTTAGATCGTGACTTTCAGTTGCAAATTTTCGCTAATAACCATTTGGACCTAAAGTATAAGAGGGTAAATTTTAAAGGATTTTTTAAGAGATTTTTTTTACATCTACTCGTATAAAGTTTTTGCGTGTTCAGGAAAGGGTTGCGTGAGTGTGTAAGCATAAAATTTTCAAATATTTATCGAGACAGATCAGTGATGTTATAACAGATCCCTCAGAAACAGCCCATATGTGTGTGCACACCCACACTTATGCACATACACATTTACACACACACACACACAAACACACACATAGTTATACAAAAGTACTCTAAAATATAAGTATTTCTCAAACACTAATTTTGCTAAGGTTGGCTGATGAACAAAGATCAGTTAATTGAGTGTTCATTCCGATATGTGCTGAATTGATGTCTTTGTTTTTTATTTGTTGTTTGTGAGTAATTGTTCTTGTAATACATTTGTAATTTGTTTGTAATTATATATAATGTTCGACTGTACTTTTAATCATGTTAGTAATTGTATTTACATTCGCCAATAGTCAAAATTTATGTTAGTTGTTATTGATCTTTGGCAGTTTATGATACGCTGTAAGTAAATGATCGAAGTAGTGAAAGAAAGTTATATGTAAATGAATAAACTTGTGAAGAAACTTTTTTTTTCAGTTGAATTTTCCGCTTCATTTTTTTCCAGTTTTCTGTCTACAAATAAGTTTATGAGCGGAAATACTGTTACCATACAAAGGAGAAATCTCATCATTATTCCTAGTTATTATTAAATGTAACTGATCATTTCTCTGAGTCACTCGAGGCTTGGGAAGATGAATAAACATATTTGATCAACGTACTTTTTTACCCGCTTCTGACACCGACGCGAACATCCTTGTTGAACGTCCAATCACAGAAAATAATACAAATTGGCAACTAATCCTCGACTCTGGAGTACTCCGATTCGCTGTCTCTTTTAAGGAAGAAGGGAACGAGTTTCAATCAAGAATAATAAATAAATGTTTGCAAAGTTTACAAATATAGCATATAAATAAAAAATATATATATATAGCTATTAGGTGTCAGCTGATTATTAAAATAAATATATATATAAATAAATATAGCCAATCGGATTATTCCAACTAAGCTGCCAGATTCTTCTTTCCTGAGTGTTGACAACCTGCATTGATTCTATGGATATATTTAATTCATTTCAAGTCGCTTTAAAAATATACAAATCAAATGAATGCCAGTAGACGAATACCTCTTGATGTTTCTCTTTTCTTAAAGACACGCAGGCACTTGCAGAACACAATTCAGCTATACACATTTTTTTTTTTTCTTTTTTCTTATTCTCTTTTTTTTTTTTTTTTTTTTTTTACATCTGTTACACTTGAATTTCTAAATCTTCTTCATATTTGTAAGAAAAAAAAGTGAACTGTCTTTCACGCCTTGACAATATAACGTAGAACAATACTCTATAAGGATAATAACAATGCATAAAGATAATAGCAATCATAAAAAAGAGACTGGAGAAATAATCGAGAATAGATTGCCTTTTTTGGGGGGGCTGGGGGGGGGGCTGTTCCACAGAAATACTTTTGCATTTAAATTTTCGAAAAGGAAAAGGAGAAGAAACAAGTAAAAGAAAAGGAAAAGAAAATAAGTAACAGACGACGTAGAAAAGAAAAAAGAAAAGGGAGGAGAACAAGATCAAGAAAGAAAGAAAAAGAACAAAAAGGAAGTGAAGCATAATAAAAAAGAAAGAAAAGGAAGAACAAGAAAGAAACAAAGAAGAGGAAGAACAAGAAAGAAAGAACGAAAATGAAGAACAAGAAAGAAAGAAAAAAGGAAAAAACTAGAAAGAAAGAACGAAAATGGAGAGCATAAACGAAAGAAAAAGACGAGGAGAAAAACAAAAAAAAACAAAAAAAACAATAACATTCCCACGTAACACCAATTACTTGACAGCAAAATCCATCTCCCATCTAACTCATTTTTCACCCATAATTACCACCTCCTATTTCACGTCGCGCACTCAATGTTGCCATTGATATTTCTACAAAACCGCTAGGCTGAACCAATAGAAGAATAAAACCTCATTTTCCTGCTAAAGAAGACTTAAAAAGAAAACGCTAAATATAGTGTTGGCTGTGACATTTTTTTCCGCTAGATCTAGCGGGAAAATCGCTAGAATGGTAACACTGTTCAATGTATCGACGGCCTCCTATAGGTAAGGACTGAGGACAGGCTGGTAGTATATCAGCTTAAATATCGTAAGAAGTTATAGGGTATTCGATTCAATGACTTGTCGTTTCTATGGCAATTCGTGCAATATGGTAATGATTGGTTGTTACCTGCTTTTTGTTGTTGTTGATGTTTGTTTGTGAGTTCGGTGGTTTTATTCAATCTTTACATGTGTGTGTGTGTGTGTGTGTGTGTGTGTGTGTGTGTGTGTGTGTGTGTGTGTGTGTGTGTGTGTGTGTGTGTGTGTGTATCATAAATATTTTGGTCTGTTATAAAAGTAATGATTTATTATGATATTAATCTACAAAAGTACATGTTTTGCAAGCTTATCGCGTATGTATATTAGTCTCTTTCTCACTATCTTCCGTCGTCCCTCTCTCTCTCTCTTTCCACATATATATATATATATATATATATATATATATATATATATGTGTGTGTGTGTGTGTGTGTGTGTGTGTGTGTGTGTGTGTGTGTGTGTGTGTGTGTGTATGTATATATATGTATATATATATATATATATATATATATATATATATATATATATATATATATGTTTCTGTCTTTATTACTATCTCTCTATATTTATCAATCTTCATCTATATATCTCTGCATCTATCCCGATCTATTTATCTATCCTGTTACTCTATTCTCTCCCTTTCTCTTCACAGCCAATTTTCGGTCGATTTCGCCGAAAGCCAAAAGCAACTCCCTCGTGGACGGCGCGGCAACCACTACGCCATCTACGGTCAATACTGATAAACATCGCTCAGTGCCCTTGACATCTGCCATCGACTTCCAGTAGGTAGGGAATTCGGGAAATTATAAGGAAAATAATGAGAGAGAAGTTATTATAGGTTGTTATACGTCGACGAATGTTCAGTTTATATTTCGAAGAACTTGGGTGGTTGGGTGTAGGAAAGGGAAGAAGGAGGGGGGAGGAGGGGTATTGATTAGCTTTGGGCAAAACACTTTAAATCAGGTCTTTTGAGTTGGTTTGTTTGTTTGTCTTGATATCGGGTGTCGGGTTTGCAAAATAAATAGCACAATTTCAAGTTTTTGTCTCCTTGTTTTAACCCCCTCCCCCTATGATATTTCTGTTTCACGCCCTTCCCATGGTATTTGCTTGTCTACTTATCTGTCTCTCTTTCTTTCTTTCTCATGCTTTAACAATATATCCATCCTTCCTTACATATTACCGCATTGCATGAGCCTGTACAAAGTAGTAAAACTGTTACTATATATACACATATAAACTATAGTTACTATAGTAAAATTATTAGGGGAGTTGGGGTTCGATGTCACTACAACCATCTCATTATTAACGGATCTGACATTCATATCTGATGGTCTGTTACAAAATCTAGAATATCAAAGGCCCTTGGATGCCACACTACGTCTTTTATCGACTCTTGGGAAACACTTTCAGAATATTTAGTTTTCTGCACAAAAGAAAAATGTTCGCGAGTTCTGCGTCTGCGGCGGACTGCCATTTTAAGTTATTTGGTTAGGTTTCTAATGCATAAAAAATTGTTCATCCTAACAATTTTGTATTATGTGGTGACGTTGAGTATCCTTTACATTCTCGAATTCTTTTATGTTTTATTTCTTGTTCATTATCTAAAAATATCCTGACGCACTAGGCATTTTTCTAAATGTTTTGCTTCAATTACATTCTGGAACAAATTTCCCAAACGGAGAATTCAGATGGACATTATGAAAAAAAAAAAAGAATATATATATATATATATATATATATATATATATATATATATATATATATATATATATATATATTACATTTTTATCAACCACTTTCATACACATTCAGCTCTTATTCAATTCATATATTTATTACATATATATAAAGAGAGAGAGAAAAAAAAACCTGTGTGTGTTTATATGACAGAAGGAGAATGAATAATTATTGTCAAGTGTGAGTCTACGCAAACTGCAGTCTACAAAATGTTCTCTTTGCATCAAAAGATTTTAATAAATAATTGTAATCCGCTCCTTACTGCGCCGATATTTTGATTTGTTTACCTTTTCTACGATTATGGTTATTGTTTTATCCTCACATTTATCATCATTGTTCACATCATGTCATTATCATATCCTATTATCATTATCAATGTTACTATGTTTTTGATGTCACTATTTACACATCAATTTTCTCATCCTCATTTAACTTTTTAGCCATTCTTTCTTCTATTCCTCTCTCTCTCTCTTTCTCTGTCTCTCTCTCTCTCTCTCTCTCTCTCGCTCGCTCTCTCTCTCTCTCTCTCTCTCTCTCTCTCTCTCTCTCTCTCTCTCTCTCTCTCTCTCTCTCTCTCTCTCTCTGTCTGTCTGTGTTTCTCTCTCTTTCTCTTTCTCTCCGCTATACCAAGTGCGTGTCACATTCCCCCACACTGGAAAGTCCGTTTTCCAGTTTTGTCTCATCACAGTTTTAGATAAAATGATAAAATCT